GTCAGTGTAATCTGTCCGCCTCCTGTTTTTGTTGGGTGTGTGTGTGTGTGAAGATGACCGGGTAAAAATGTTTTGCGATAATAAATTAATAATAAAATAGTTAAAACTCTGGAACTAGTTTGGTTCGGTTCTTAGCAGAAACAGTATAGCGGGATCAGATAAAGAGCGACAAATTTTATTTTCGCGTAACAAATTAGCAACAAAAAGGGACAAATTTTGAAATTAATTTCATTTTTTTTCAAAACTTTGCTACGTTAACTTTACGGATCTGTAGCGAGGGGCTCCGAAGTGTCGGAGAAAGCCGTTCACGCTGATCTGGTTCGTGACAGCCTGATGACGAGGCAGTGGCCTTATCTGGAGCTCAATGTGGGCGCCGGGTACGCAATCATCGGTCGGAAGTTGACTTACAGAGCTGCTCATGTGGCCAGTGTCTCGACTGGTGGACGGCGACGGTTTGGCTCGCATGGCTGAATATTGATCTCGTCACATCTCAGAAGATTGCTCTTTTCGAAATGTGGAGCGCTGAAATGACAGCGATTGATACGTCATTGCAACCGAGGATGTTTTGAATTTTCTGCGAAGAAAGGGCACCCGTTCTTGCAGAATATGCAATAATCATTAAGACAATAGCACACAAATAATTATTTCATGTCACATTGAGCGAAATTGAATGCATTTTAGTTCCCCCCTTCTCAAAAATAATTCCAATACGGCCTTCAGATGTTCAGAGATTTATTGAAAAAAAAATGACCAAATAATACCAGAAAAAGTAGTATGATTTCGAGTGTGTAAAAGACGACACGTATGAAAAATATTTAGAATCGCCATCCCTCCCTTTCACTATAGAATGACTGGCCGTTCGAGCAGTCTTGAGTTGACTACGAAAAAAATGCCACACCTCTCCTCCATTTATAATCTGTAATATCCAGTGGCACTGATAAGTTCCCACACGAGCACTAAACCATCGCCGTGAATGACGTTAGGAATTAATATTCGCGTCTCCATCTCACAACCAGAACATTACTTCCTCCGTACCATGCTTCATCCATCTGATCCAAAAATGGAGAATTTTCTCTCGTCTGAAAATCTGATCTTCCTACACACCCGACACGACTTTCTGTAAATCCTAGGCGTTTTTGCCTGTTTACTTTACTCACAAAACTTCTTTGGAGCATTGTGCCCATGGTAAGCATTGCATCACATTGCGCACAGTGCCAGGCGAACCTTTTTTCGCTTTCCAGATGGTCGGCGGCCAAAACCGAGACACTTGTTCATGGATTTATCTCTACTGAAAGAATAATCATCCGGTCTTTTTCCCGTTGAGGTGGGTCGGTCCACGCCCTGACAGGGGAATGCAGGGAGGGCTCTCAAGTATTCCTTTCTTTCACCAGACATCTTTATCTTCCCCGTCGTTTATTTTCGTTCTTTGAGAACACCTGTCTCTTTTCTTCTATCCCCTTCTATTTCACTGGGCCCCCTGTATTCTGAACGCCCACCCATGTTTGCCGGGCCTGTCTGTTTTCCAACTACTCCTTGTGCTACTTTCTACTTTGCACTTAGGCATACATAGCTTAAGTATTTTGGGGAACATTTTTTGTAGATTACCAACACTCTCTCTTTGGCCTCGTACTCTTCTAGAAGGGCAGTCGGGAGCTAACCCACTCCCAATCGATCGGCGGGGAATAAACCATGCCACTCCCTGTATATCCCTGTGGCAACCCTGGCACCCCAGCGGAGTGTCCCCTTGTTGGGCTTCACGGTGTGTGGGGACCATGGGGATGAATTAGAATCCCTTGCCATGGATTTAAAAGCAAACCCCCTCTTCCCAAAGGAAGAGGAGACTAAATTAAAAAACGTCGATCTGGAAAGTTTTTTCTGTAAAGAAAGTGATATGTCAATTACATGCAACGAAGAAGAGAAAACAATGAAGTGTTAGCTCAATAAAACCCCCAATGGCTGTAGAGAAATTAGAAAAGTTCCAGGCAGTCGTTCGCTAATGCACGGGAACCATCCTTTTTGAATGTCAAACAAATCAAACGATTGACAGTTTCAATATTGAAGGAAATAGCCTACCTTCGGGTTCAAGTGCCGACCCACACTACATTAAACCTATGTAAGGGTTTAGTCAATTATGATTTCGCTACCGAAACCAATGAAGACCTGAAAACCTTCTTGTCTGAGGCAGATACCGACATGCACAGGATTCAGCGGATGGTGATCAGTGTACTCACCCCCACCTCAACGTTGATCCTCACATTCGATCGCCCCTCTCTTCCGGAGAGGATCTCATGCGGGTAGTATAATCTGCGTGCGCGGCAGTTTAAAAAAAAACTTAACACCTAAAATCATAGTCCTCCTCTCGTGGAATCTCAATGGCTTCCTTAGTCCGCTAGACGAATTGAAGCGTATAATTTCTCGACATAGACCTATTGTTATCTGTCTTCAGGAAACACATCTTCCTCAGCATCCCCTCTCTTTTCGCGGCACAATCACCCATATGCGTTCTTTGGAACCCATCAACTCCCATTTGTTTACGCGGCTTCATTTCTTGGTCTGACGTTCCACAAAAGCCTGACATGACGAAAACATGTCTGTAACCTGCAGAGCCGATGTGTATCACCATCAATCCTACTTCGCAATCTCAGTTGTACCTCTTGGGGCGCCGATCGTACATACTCTTACGGTTATATAGGGCACTTATTCGATCTTTTTTGGAATACGGCGGGATTGTATACGGCTCCGCGTCACTTTCAACTTTACGACCTCTCCACACTAGATTCAGCGTGCTGGTGGCCATTGCACTAGCCGTATCGAGTGTCTCTTGGCTGAACCTGGAGAACCGTTTCTTAGCCGAAGACGGCGCGGGAGATTTTATTCTGTTCGTACGGTGCAAAAGTGTCAGAGCTGGATGATCCATCTCGGCGAGCATTCTTGTATTCAAGTCTCCAAACATCATACTTACTGAAACCATCTTTACCTAAATCACCTGGTATCCGTTTTTAGACTTTGTTGCGGAAACTTAACCTGAAACTTCCTGCCCCTCTGAAACCTCCCCAAAATCTGGTCCCTTCTTGGAATCTTCTCCGACCCTTAAAAGATTTCAGCTTATTCAACCTCCCTAAAACATCAACTTCGCCCATACTATATCTAAAGAGCTTGAATGAGATGAGATCATCTTATCCAGAGCATACTTTCTCGTGCACAAACGGCTCTGCCACAATTGACTCTGTGGCATGTGCGTTCTCTTGTAGAAGAGCCCCACGGTCATTCAAAATTTACCCGTACTGTAGCGTTTTCTCTGCTGAGAAGTTCCCTGTTCTGCAAGCCCTGAAATACATAGAATCAGGTGTCTCACGACGAGTAGGTATGTGCAGTGATTCCCGAAGTGCACTCTAGTCACTTTTGACACTTTCTCCCTCGGATCACTTGACTACAATACATCTATTTCACCGCTTATTATCTTGACACTCTGGCCTAGTAGTATGTTGGGTACCGGGTCATGTGGGAATCGTAGGCAATGAGCTAGCCTATCAAGCCGCAAAAACAGACACTTGGAAGTCATCTATTGATATTCCTTATGTCCCCTCAGCAGACTTTAAAGCGTATTTAAAACGCTCAATACTCAGTGCATGGCAAACAGAGTGGCAAAACTCAGATTTTAAACTCACGAGAATCAAGGATTCCATAAAGCCTTGGTCTGCCTCATCTCGTGGGTCTAGGCGCGTGGAGACACGCCTTCGGATTGGTCACTGTCATTTCTCCCCCGGCCATCTTCTCCGCGGTGACCCACCCTCTGCTTACGATAGTTGCGAGACCGTTCTTACCTGAAGCATGTTCTCCTGCACTGTTGTATGGGAAGAGGTAGCCGGCGAAGGCTTCATCTTGCTAGCTCTCTAGCACAGATACTTGGAAATGACGAATCTTCTCTCTGCAAGCTTTTTAGCTTCTTACGAGAGACTGACATTTACAGCATTATCTGAAAGAAGAGGATATGCCGATATTCGGCTTTTAATTGGAGATTTTAAAGTGTTTATGTCGATCTTTTCTGCCAACCCCTTTTTAAAAATAATTGAACACGTTTATTTTCAGTTTTACTCACATTTTACTTTCCATTAAAAATGTTTTAGTCTGACACTGCTATAATGTGTATTGTTCTTAAAATAATTTCGTCAATGATCTTAGCTGTTGAAGCGCCCTTAAATTTTAATCATCATCATCTGCTGGTTTTCTTTTCACCAAAACGGTCTGTAATGACGGTGCATTTGATTTCGGGCAGTTAGTTGATTTCTTCCATATTGATGCGTAATCATTGTGTCAACGGATTACTCCTACGCATCCTTCAACAATAGATTCCCTTCTCGAAATCATTTTAACACTGCTATCCTATCTCTGCAGAGCTGAGACAACTGACAGCGAAAGGGCACGGACGACGGTGGAGGGAGTATTCAAAAATGATTCAAGCCTCTTACTTCCATTTTCTATAAGGTCATGCTTGTTAAACTTTTACTTGATGGTACCCAAAGACTTTGCGTTCCATTTTGACGCGGTGTTTCTTGTTTTTATATGTATCAATATATTTGATTAGCTTTGTTAAAATTAAGAATTTTTTGTCATGATTGTTGTATCTTATTGCCATTAACTCTAACTGTAGTTTCCTCAGACCCACAAAAGAGAAAATATTTGTCTACTAATTTTGTACACAAATTGTTGTTAATTTGCCATCACCTGCAGTACTTTAGCCTTAATTCGGAGCAAAAATTAAATTATTTCTTTTGTAGATTTATTCTAATAATATAAGGTAAATCATCAGTAATTCACAATGTGAACCTAGAAGTACATATATTGTAGGATTATATTATGTAAGATTATATGATGTAGGTATCTCCTTGAGCACAAACACTATTCTGAGCATGGTATAGGAAAGTCATGCACATGGCGTGCTTTTGCTGTGCTTCAAAAATAACAAGCCATCATTTAACATTGGCCCTTTTTTTTTCCAGGGTGATGGTGGTGGCCCTTTAGTTTGTGAAGAAAATGGCCAGTGGTATCAAGTGGGTGTCATCAGTTTTGGGATAGGATGTGGCAGAAAAAATACACCAGGAGTATACACTCGTGTGAATACACATGAGCAATGGATTACTGATACCATACTGCATCACAGAGAAAGCAGCAATCAATAAAGCTAGATTGAAAACAGTAATAATAATAAAAAAAGTAATGCCAACGAAGAGGCCTACATGAATTATGTATTTATCTGACATGTCCAGATAAAAGCACAGAAAGGAATCAAAACATTTCGTGTCACTTTGAATACCTTATTACATTTTCTAATATTAAATATGAACATTCTATTTTATTTCACTTTTCTTTATCACAACAAAAAATTAGTTCTGTAATGCATTGCATTCACTATATTTTTCTTTGAGATCTTTTGGGGTTGAAATGGCCAGGTATATTTCCTCAAATTACTTGATGTTGAAATGAAGGTGCCCCTAATATTTTCATCTGTTAAAAAAATAAATTCTTCAAAGTTAAAGAAGAAAGATATTCTGTACAATAAAATAAATTGTACACATGTTTCTTCTGTTTTTCCACCCTTTAAGCTAATTTTAATATACGCTTAAAAAAAGCTGCCATCTCATTACAGCAAAAATCTACAAAAAAAATTTCTCCTTGTGACTAAAAATTGATTACTTCGAGGTTGTGAAAATATTACTAAAGTAATTAAATATTTTATTCCATTTTACAATGCCATGGTTTACATATGCTGTAACAGTGGCACAACTCAAAAGTCTTTTTTGTTTTCGTTTTAGGAGATGCAATTGAAATTTAAGTTGACATATGAAATACAGTAGTGCAACATCGATACAATGGTTCTATGACAATTTCAGAATACCATTATTCATAAAAAAAACAAGAGCTCCAAATATCCTATATCTTCTTACTAATAATATACTACCAAATTCTGTTCTTCAATCGCCTGGCCAAATTATGAGCTTTGACCTTGTTGCAGTGATATTTATTTACATGCAAGAAGCTGTTCATTTCAAGGAACTTAATTTTAAGCAATATAAATCCGGAAAAAAGTGTGTCTTATTCAAAGAAATATGATATTTTGATAACTGAAAAAGATACATTTACATCACAAATCAAAGATTACAGAAAGTACAGATTTGATGTGATGAACATGAAATAGGATAATAATTATCATTCTGAAAAATAATTATCTAATAAAAGGGATGAACCCAATGTAAATAAATAAATTCAGGAAACACAAACCTGTTTTAATGATGTATTAATATTGAAACAATACAATCTTTTTATTTTCTAAAAATAGCTATGAACAATGTAATATACGAACAGGATTTATGTTCTTATTAATGTTTGAAATAAAATGATCATTAATATTGATGTTTACAATAGTTACTAACTTTAACACATTTTTATAACCACTATATATATTTCTTTTTATTCAAAGAAATAGTCATTGTTCTCAGAAATTTTAAACAATATTTTCAACGTTTCTATCATTCTCTCAACTATAATTTTTGATCTGGCAGTGATTAGATTAATCACAGACACTTTTCTCTCCTACTGTACTAATATATTACTCTAATACGTAAGAAAGATCATCTTCAATTTGAGTTCTAAAAGTAGACATTCACAAAATAACTCAAGAACAGTTAAAAAAATATGATCCATAAGCAAAGGCTGTGGGCAAAGAAGCACATGAAAATGACCTCCATAAACATTTAATTTTTAATCTAAGTGAAATGTCTTAACTAAACGCTAAAGCATAATAAAATGGGGAAAATATGTCCTCAAACACACTGAACAGACTTTGAATGGGATTTATTTGGCTCCCACAATTTAAATTAATTTTTTTTTCTTAAATATTCTTTTTATACCGACTGTTCAATAATTTAACATCAAATGGATAAAAATGGCTTTGTAAATTGTCAGTCATAGAAAGCAAAATAAATTACATATTGGTGGAAAATTTGAATAAGCACTTGCATTTTTTAATGTTATGTCATACTTTTTAAAATATTTTAAAATGTTTGCTCACAATTTTTACTGTTTCAAAATCATACCAAAATAAAAAGTACAAAAATTTTCTCTTGCAAAATAACATATTGGAGACTACTGGGTATTTACCAAACATCAGTCCATCTGCTTGTAACAAAGGAATCCTCGAGTGCCTATGATTCAAAACCACATAGGTGGCCGACTGAGTTTAGTATATTGTAATTTGACATTTCCAATAGCAACAAACAGACATCAGGTGTCTATTTTGGCACTGTATTCATATTTAGGAAACTGTAAATACACTTTTGCAAGAGAAAATTGTTGTACTTCTTGTATTTTGATATGATATTAAAATACAAATATTGCAAAAACCTAGAAAAATCATTTTTATTTTTTTATGTTGTATCAAACAAAATTACAAAACAGCATGTCTATAGATTTCATGCAATCACATGAAATATATTTTACTGAAGTAACATCTCTGAAAATACTGAAATTTTAGAAAGTGTGATTTTCTAACATTTAAGCAGTTTAAAACTCCAAATTTCTCTCATAAATCTCACTAATTTATATTCATTTTCTTTATTAATTTTTCTCAAAACAATTTCCACCCATTTCAGATGGTAAATCTTTCACAGTAGGTAAAAAAAAGGATTTAAGAAAATTGTTCTTTATGAAAGAGAGTTGTAGTGCAAACATCAATAATTCTTAGATCCTTTTTTTGTTAAATATATTTACATGGAGTTGGCTCAATATGTTTGGAGGCCTTTTTTACCACATTTTTTCTGCTGTAGTTTCTTAATATTTTAGCCTCAGTGTGAAGTGCATCTAAAATCAGTTTTGCACATTTACATTATTTTTGCATTTATATTATAAGAAAAAGTTTGGCCACATTCTTAAATACTGACAAGATATTTTAGATATACTTGTCAATTTTTACACACTATTTAATAAAAAATTCAAAGAAATTTTTAACATGTTCCATAATGTGAATTTTTTAGAAACCGACAATGACACTGATGATTCATTTTTAGTTTCCAAATCATTCGCATATAATTAGTCACTGTTCTATGATCACTTTAAACATTTTTGGAACATAGTGTTGCTGCATTGGATTTTGAAATCATAGTATTTATTGTGAGAATTAAATTTTTGGGCAAATATGCTTTAACTTTCACCTCAAAAATTACACCCACTGATTTTTTGCCTAAGAAAAATCAAATTTTCAATGGTACTTTATTTTGAAATTAGCTTTTTTATGTTTATAAATACATATTTCACTAAATGTTCTTTGATAGTGACATTAATGCTTACATAATTAAATTAGTTGCGGGGACCTTTCCACATGCTAATTGGCTGCACCCTTTGTATAAAAGTTTAGAATTTCTTAAAGGTACCTGTAATATGAAATACTATTGTACTCCTTGTACACTCACCTACTGAATCCTTTGAAAATGTTCTAATTTACCTTAGAAAACGGGAAAATTTTAATTGTTTCAGTGTAAATTGTTGGTGAACAAATGAGTACACATATCATCAGAGCACAACAAAACTGACATGTCCAACATTGTCAGTTTCTAAGATGTGAGTGGGTTTTATCCTGAACAAAGCCATGTATTTTACAACCAAAGACAAAGTGATTTTTTCTATATACTGGCTGCCTTGCAAACTATCTTCATTAACTGTTTACTAGTAAAAATAGAATATTTTCTAAACATATTTCTTCACTTAACTCAAAAATGACCATTTTTGAGAAGTTCCACTTGTCCTTGGCACTGACATTATGAAAAACATAAATAAGCATGTATATGTATGTATGTATGTATGTATGTATGTATGTATGTATGTATGTATGTATATATGTATGTATGTATGTATATATATATATATATATATATATATATATATATATATATATATATATATATATATAAACATACATACACACATTTATATTTACATTTGTATTATATTAGGCACTATTATTTGTTTAACATATTTACACGTGATGTCACTCAATGTATGTGTGTGTGTGTGTGAATGCGCTGGGGGGCATGTTTATGTATACACATTCATGAGGAGTTGTTAATTTAATTAGTTATATGTTTCAAAACAAATTCATAATCCAAAAATTTTATTTTCTTCTTAATTTCATTTTTCATTCACATTTCAAAAGCATTAAAATATAGAAATTGTTAATAGATGGAGTAACGTAACCTAGTGTTTAATGAAAACATTCTTCTCTCATTCTTTCACATTATAATTGAATATTTGTTAAGTAAATCCTACAAGAAATATGACACTCATCATATATTAATAAAAATATTTTAAATTATTGATCGTAGAGGGGTGCATTCAGGTCAGAAGCAATTTTTCAAAACAATACTTGTATAGAGATAGAGTTTTATTGCATTCATGGAACTTTACATATTTCATCATCCTTTTAGCAGTACAGCAAGAGCTTATCTGCTATTAAATTGACACAACACAACCTGTCTTATGTTGCTACTCATCTTTGATTTCCACCTTTATGTAAGGCAGCAGAACACTGTTTAGATTCACATACATGTTTGGTCACCGTTGATGACATATAAAATTAAATAAATTATATAATATAATAATGTCCTCACTATCCAGTTCCAAAGAAATTGAATTTATAAACCCTTACTGGTACATACACTCTTCACAACTCCTTACATGATTGCAACCTCAGTACCAAGTTACACAACAATAGGCATTCATTGTTGGAGTCTGTATTCATTACACACACATTAAATAATTTTTTACTTATAAAATAGGGAAGTTAGAACACATGCATGTATGTGTTATTAAAATTGTAAATTTTTATTTTGTTCTTTTCAAAATTAGTCTACACAGTGTTTCCACTATCTACTCCCTTTCACCCAATGTGGGTTAGAAATTATGATTGAAGAAATTAAGAAATGAGCTATCAATAATTCAGTGGCTCTTGTTCTGTATCAAGTCCACAGTAATTTATACCTATATCAGAATAAGTCAATAATAAAAATAATAATAATTATAAAGATTACAATACCAGTAATATTCTTTTGATACATTTGTGTGCTTTACCAAGGAACGCAGCCATTCTCCCCAACATATCTAACCAACCCCATAAGTGTCTAATCTAGGAATCAAATATAGGTACTGGGCTATAGTACTTTTACATACATACACGGAAATGTCATGAAACAAAAGGGAAACCCAAGCATTATATAATTCATTTGCCAGAAATACAGTTTATTTAAGGTACATAACAATATTTACATTTAGAATTACACTTGTCTTATTTGACTGCATTGTGACATGACCAGAAACGGGGGGCCTGGATTATCATAAGAAGGATAAAAATTTCCCGTTCCGAGAAACGTCGTTGTTCTCCTTTTCATAAAATCTGGAGACACATTACTAGAATCAATAGTTGACATTTTGTTCAAGTGTCTATTTTCTAGAGTACTCTTGTGCTAATTGTATTAAACTGACATTGTTCTTCTTTCATTAGATCTATGTAGACAAATTCAAAACTAAAAGATCCTTGCAACACTCATAAAATAGAAACATAATTTTGTTTTAATTGTTGCTTTACAAGTACTGAATGTATGTTGTATGTGAATATGTGTGTATGTATATGAGTATATGTGGTTATGTGTGTATGTTTATGATATGAATTTCCATACTTACAAAAATGTGTAAGTGTGTATAATTTTGATATGTGTATATATGTATACACATACATAAACACACACGCACACACACATGCACATGTATATGTTTACTTACGAAAAATCATATGTTCAAACATACACATTTACACATGCACACAGACATATTGTATACATGTGTATGTGAGTACATATTGAATAAATAAATATAAGTATATAAATATAGATATGTTATACACACACGTGTATGTGGGCATAACATACATATGAATGCTTGTGTGTATGATTAGGACAGAGTAATGAATGCCATCACAGGTTCATTTAGACTGATAAAGGCATAAGGACTTCAATAAAAGTGAGACTTGGGTCTATAGAAAAGATGGATTAAAAATCATTAAATTTCATAAACATACTTGATGGGGAAAATACAATTTGCATTTATCGTTGTTTTAATTTAATTTCACTGCATAATTTTATAAGTGTTGTTAGTGTGTATTCATTTTCGGAAGCCCAATATTTTTTTTTAACACTGCATGCTCTGGAAACACTGAATCAAGCTCTCATGTGTAACAACAGAATTTGCAAAATTGTATAAAAGTTTGTTAATTTATTTATCATCACACTGTAGACTAAATTAACAATGATATTAAAAATTATTAGATTGACAAATTATTACTGGTGACTGAAGACATTTCAATTTAATTTTCCAACTGAAATAGCATATGGAATATTACAATTCTACAAGATTATGAGCAAACCAGTTTTCTTTTTCTCCCTTCCCTAGAAATGATACCTCAATTTTAAAATTACACTTTAAAATTGTTTTTTATTTTTTATTTTTTTGCATTTATTAATCTTTTATGTAATGTACATGTAATACACCTACATGTAAACATATATATACATAAAACAAACTGTGTATATATATGTGCACAATAAGGATTTTCTTTTACATATATCTTATCTTTCTTGCCTTTTAAGCCACTTGCTTGGAGCTGAAGCCAAATCATGCATCTTCACAACAATGCACAACAATCCCCAAACAATGAGTGGCTCACTATTTGCCCCAGGCAGATGAATTGCTGGTCCCATGACAACACTCATGCACCTGAAGCACATACACAGTTGTTCCAACTCAAACCCATCTCCTTTCCTGTATCAACAACAGTAGTTTAGGCATTTGATTTGTACATTGATTCAGGAAATATTAATTTAGCATTACTTCTCAAAACCAGCACATGAATTAGTCCTTTATCTACATTTCAGTGAAACTTGTTAATCTTAAAGTTGACATGTATATGCATTAATACATTTATACACATTTTGTGTATAATTGTAAAATATTGTGCATTCATTATAGTAGTATATGTTATGACAATTATATACAATGAGTAATATGAATCTATTATTTTGAATGCACATGTTTTCTATTATGACATATACACATAAACATTTGTAACATAATGCATGAAATATTTCATGTGTTCTTTTCGTGTTTGTATGTACAAATGGATGGATGAATGCATGCTTCTGTACAATATGCATAGGTGCATATGTATAATTAGGAATCATGAACGCATATTATATACTTTTATTAATGCACATGCATGTTTTTTATAATATATAAAGTTAAGTTAAATACACTTCTCTATGACAGCCTGTGCATGGTCTTGTGAATATCAAACTCACAATATACCTTTCAATATCACAATTTATCATCAAGATTTTATCTTATTTTTAATACTTCAACCAAAATACTCAATGTTCACCTTGTTTCCTTGAGTGATGGTGAATGTGTTGGTCAACTGGCGTAGAGCAGGCTTGTTGCCAGACAATCAGCCGCTGGCCCCAGGCTCCCGTGGGAATCGCCAGCGTGCTCTCATGCAACACACGGGCGTACCAGCTTTACTGCTCCAGGGAAAACCAAGACAAGACTGTAATGGACTTTAGCAGAATGAAATGATGGGGAGATGAGGACAGAAACCATTTTGTATATACTACATTCTTAACTGCTGTGCCTACCTATGCTAAATCTTGCTTGCTACATGGTGACAACTATTGAAAATTGAGCACCTGAACGTTGGTGACGTCAGTTTCATTAGTACACAAGATGAAAAAATCAACAACACCGATCCGTCCTTTTTAAGAGAAGAAATCCTTCTCCTATTAAATTATGTACAGAGGCGAAGATATCTCGGGTTCGTTCCAACTTGTTGATCCTGTTTAGCTTTAGAGTCCTGGCAGTGTATGTAATTAGAATTAGTCGTGATGTATATGTACACAACAGTATTATACTTAAAAAATTCATCTTTATTTATTGTTTTATTTTGCACTGTGTCATGGGATTACTATTAGTGCCACTAATTTAAATATAATTTTCATTGTTCATCAATCACTCTCACATTCCCTCTTCACATACAACAATGAAGGAATATTGGGGACAAGGTGTCATGCTCCTGACACTGCTGTACATGCACACAGTGACTCAGAATAAAATGCAGACATTCCTGAACAAATGGAAAAAAATAAGTTCTACCTCTGGTTTAATTTGGTTAGGTTGTAATTACTTCATTACTGAATTACTTTTGAATGTGTTCAGGAGAATTTGTAGACAATGATGTGGGAAATGGAAAAGATATGATGCACAGATGTCTTCTATGAAAAATATTTTTTTGCTGTTGCTATTTCTCGCTCCACCAATCCATTCATATCTCAGCCTATAGTAATAAAAGTAGTATACTTAGTTTAAATACCTTGAACTGCATGATAACTGTTCATTATGAAAAGTTCTTTTTCTAATATTCTTCAGAACACATTCGAATATCTTCCCCACATTGACTGTGAATCAATATGCAGACAAAGATAATTTCAAGACACAAGAGAGGGAGAAACATGGTGGAAAGCAGAAAAGAAGTAGAAAGAAAATGTAAAGAAGATGAAGAAACAAAAATTTGGTAATGATGATGTGTAGAAAATAAAAAGGGAAAAATAGTCTCCTTAGTCTATTGATCCTTGCTTGCGACGGTCATAGTTGTCGTTTGTTCATCACAACCAGCAAAATTGGACACAACATACTTTCTTACACCGCAGAGTAATATAATGGCTCAATTGTTGCTTATAACAATCATATTAGAGGAATGTATAGCACTTTCTGCCTTCCAAAGGTTCACGCTTATCTTCAGAAATAATACCTATTAAGAACAGGGATTGTCTTTCAATTGCTAAAACTATAAAGGTCTTGAGAACATACACATGGGGAGGAGGCCAATTCTGGTTCACTTAAACCATAGTATTTCTCACATCCCTGCTGTTTTTCTTTGTGATTTATTATTCTGTTTTTCTTTCGCTTAAAAACAACTTAATATTTCAACAAGTTTTTCACTTTCTTCATTCTGCACTGTTTCATTCACTGTTGAGCATCCTTTTGAAGTACCAAACCACAGTCTCAATGGCAAGAACGTCGCAGACTGTGTTGAAGGTACAACACACAAGCCTTGCCACGGTCCGAGATGAGGTCGTAGAGCTGGCCCTCAACCCCTGGCATGGCCAAGAGCAGAGGAAGTGGGGTGAACATGGAGAAATTACCGATGTTAAGAGTTTCCCATTGTCAAACAGCGTTGTTCGGGAAGCGTGGCGGAGGGAGCGGGGGTGGGGGCCTGACCGCCGGCACGAGCTCTCGTGAAGAGCGCTCGGAGGCAGCTGAAACGAGACAAAGGTGGTCACTTATGTACAAGGAGGTGGGGAAAAAGGCCACGAGTGAATGTCAGCTAATAAGGTCAGTTCACACAATAAAATTATAAAAGAATATATTCAATTAGATTCATCAAGCATAATGTAAAATGTGTGAATGATTTCAGTGGATGTGTTTTACTCACTGAATGATGTCAAGCCTGAGACTAAAGATTTAAAAAATAAAAAAATTTAAAAAAATAAAAAGAAGAAAAAAAGAAAAAAAAAGACATTCAATGCAAACATATAACATTTTCCAAACAGAGCATGCTTTGAGGATGCAGGAAAGGAGGATGAGGAAGTTTCTATTAATACAGATAAAAATGAATAAAGCAGCTCTCAGAATCATAAATACTGTTTGATGTTGTTTCTTCAACTAGTAGTTTTAACAACATTTTAGGATTATTCTAATTTCTTTAAATTAATTTAAAATTACATCTCATTATTCAATGGAAATCTTCAAAAACTGAACAAACCTATTGTTCCTAATCTGTGTGATCAATGAAAACAAAAAGTATTGAGTATTTACTCCATTATGTATGATGGTCAAGATACAAAATAAATTTTAAATATTATGCATAACTGATTCAAGGTACTGACATGTTCATTATGCTATGTTATGCCATTCTGTACTCATATTGAGTAATTAAAATGATTCAATGAGCAGTTAATAATATAAGTCAATGTAATGAGATGTGTAATATTTTGATATGTGTAATATTTACCACTAGAAAGTGCGGTTGCTATAGAAAAGTGCAAACTTCTGTGCCTCTTAGTATTCCAGCAAAGAATGTCAATGTAACTGAGAAATATTGTGGACAAATACTTTCAATGGTAGTGTTTTCTGTTTGTTCATTTATTCTTTTTCTCATTTCAGTGCTGCTGGGTGTAGTGTGCGACATTGTGCTCGTTATGGATGAACGCATACCTGGTATCGATGCATATGCAGAATGCCGCCGTGGATTGTATTTACTTGTAATTGTTCTTCTTTCAAACTGGCTCGGCACTGGATATAAAATAGTAAAATATTTAAAACCTCCCTGACATACGACTACAGGAGATGCTACAGTTATGTGACTTCCAGGAAGATGATTTTATATTTTATGGGTTTTGTGAAAAGGACAGTGTTTCAGGAATGCTATCATTCCATGCACCAATGCTGCTCAAAATTAGCTAGACAATACTTTCAAGTACACATCCACTAAATTTTATATCAAGATCAAAAGTGTTAAAGCAGAAGATGTCTTCAGTGCTTGTGACAAAGCACAGTTCACATGGTTAAATGTTAACTACTTGCTAAAAAATATTTATGTAAATAAATTTTATCAATGTATGAGAATAATAATAAAAAAAAAATGCTTCCTTAATGTTATTCAAATATGTAACTGCATATTAATGTGTTAACTCGCATTGAAGCTTCATATTCATAAGCAAACGTTAATAAATGAAACTGCTATAAAAAGTGATTGCAATATCATGCCTTTCATAAATATTTTAACATGCAGATTTTTATGATGTAAATAATGTCTGCGCTTTATGTATGTACTACACACAATAGCATTATTAACAATACATACATACATACATATTTGAATTTTTATATGTGGACATGTCAACCCAAGCACATGCTAAGATAATTTGTGTAACCATAGAAGAAAGAGTGTTTCTTTCCTCTATGGTGTTACATATTTATAAGGGAGTTATGCAAACATTTATTAATTATGTAAACACAAATACAATATATGATTTTTCAATAATTGTAATTTTCCTTTCAATTAATTGGACTATTTGTAAATAATATGAATATGTGAGAGCAAAACAAACCATAGGAATAATATAGATGAATACAAATATAATTATGTCCTTACATCATGGAAAAATTTTAGGAACACAGTAATGATTCAAAAGACTAAAGTTTCAGTTGGAACATTCCAATATCCTTATTAATTTGATGTAGAAAATCAAAACCTAACTTAAATGTGTTACCTACCAAAACATTTTTTGTGTTGAACGTAGATTTTATGCAAAAAATTAGAACAAAAATTACTAGAAGGAATTTGGTTCATGGTCATGCAATTTATGAATTTACTGATGAAATATAATGCATCATGCAGTCATGAAAAGGCAAATTACATTCCTACATATGTTATAACTACCCAAATATTAGAAGCATGGCAAACATTACATAAATAAAAGGACAGGTGCATGTGTTATAAAACTCAAGATAGGTGCCAGATAAACTGGAACTCAAGGAGAAAAACGTGCAAAGTATTGTGGTGGTGTTTCACAATTGATGTTTCATGTGTACATACATTTTTTTTTACAAAACCCTATTCGTAAGTTAATGAATTTGCATACTTTCCTTATGAACAAAGAAGTGTAAAATGTAACTTCGCATCATAATTTTTAAGAACAAAAATTATTGAAAATTAATTTGGAAATAATGGTATCTCCACGCTGGCACCCAACATAAATTTGGAGATATAAAAAGTAAACTTAGGGGTGAGAGAAAGTGTGAAAGAGAGCGAGAGAGATAGAGAGCTAGAGAGAGGGGGGTTAAGTGCTTACATGAATCAGGGTGTGGCTTTTCCTCGGCCACCATAATGGCTGCGCGGTCTGCTGGAGGCATGCGCTGCTCTAACGCATTCACACAGTTTAGCATGCTCCTGCAAAAGAGTCAGCATACCTGGTCTGGGTAAAGCTAGGCAAGTAAATGCCCTCAAAGCTCTTAAATGAGGGAAGGAGCACTTTGTCATAACATAGGAACTTATATCTCAGCCATTTACCAAGAAAAGAAAGAGATAGTTAGACAGAGAATTTAGTCTTAAAACAGAGAATGATTTGAATCAATAAATAATAAATAAATAAACCACTTTGCCTTTTATTTCTTAGTTTGATTAATACCAGTCATTTTATGGATCACGTTTTTATGTTCTCTTGTTGTTTCAAGAAATGAAAACCATCAGTATACTAAGCAATAAGTTTACACGTGAAGGACATTTCACATGTAAAAGCCACTCAACGTGTTCAGCACAATGAGATGAACAAATTTCTTGCATCATTTTACTGTGAAATTCTTCATTATTGCACAGCAGCAAGTCGACGAAATTATATTCCTCGTAATAAGGTAAAGTCTACTAATAATTAGGAATTATATTACCGTTTCGTTTTCAAAGAAACGAATTTAACTCGCAGAAAATGTTTTAGAGATTTTCGAACTACGTCGCAGTCTTATATTGCGTCGCATTTTAACTGGTCTTTGACGAATAAATAAATAAATAAGACCATACATGCAAATGTTCCGAGATACATAAATAAAGTTTGTATCTCGGAATATTTGCAAACAATTATTATTTTGAGACAAGAAGTGTCGCATCGCTGATAATATCGGGAGATCATTTACGTAAGCGCCTGGAAAGCCACTCTGGAGTTTCTCAACGTCGGCAACAGTCATTAATGAACCTTGTCCTAATCCGATTCCAGACAGGGCGGTTGATATTCGCTTCTCAATTCTATCAACACACAAATTTCGCGTGTTGCTATTGTTGTTTTTATTACCGTTGATATTATTATTATTATTATTATTATTATTATTATCATTATTATTATTATTATTACTTCGTCGTTCACCTGATTTCCTTCCAAGTTATACAAATACTTTTGACCCTCTCTGTACCTATTTAGTATCGTCACCGTAAATACGATCTTCTGAACATCAAGGGCAGATTTTGGCGAAATGTATAGTACCAAAAGTTTTCGGTAAAATCACATCAGGAACATTGGTTCATCTCATTAAGCAGGACATGCTGGTGAAAATTTTACACATTTTTTGCACGAATAATATCTATCTATACCGGACACATAAAACGAAACATCTCATGGTGCATGTAGGGCGAGTCTTATCTGGTGAATAAAACGCACCAGCGTGTTCCTCATAATATTAACAATCAATAATTCCATTATCATTTTCGCCTCAAAAATATATTAGTAGAAATAGTAGAAAGTGTTTCATTGTAAATTTCCAATTTCGTTGCAGCATGCAGGCTACATTGTGATGGTACACATCTCTTGCAGGCTCTGAGGCAGACAGAAGACGGGTCAATTCTTCTCACACTTGTATTCTATTCACTATCTCACACTTGAAAAAAGATTTGACCGACACATTTCTGAAAATGTATGACCCTATCTTCACATGAAGCGGCCATCTCTAAAAGAAGAATCGAGACAGGGGACGCACGACTAACGGGACCACATTGACTAGCAATTAGGTTTCACGAAGAGCGGGGTTTTAGGCAACACACATGAGAAGGGCCCGGCTTTTAATGACATGTAATATTTTTTCTGAACCTTCGGGTGAATTTTTAAGCAATTTATGCACCAATTCAGGTATTGTCGAATAGAAAAAAGTATTTTTATTGCGCATATTAAATCATATTTACTCCACCGACAGGTCATATTTTGGCCTAAATGGCCAAATATTTGTCATATTTTTAAGGACACTAGAATAAAAGATATGAAAATGTGTCTCGTATGACAATGTATCAAGTGATATTGTCACAAATAAACTCAACAATTATACCACAAAGTTTTATTTGAAACGCATTATTCCTAGTGCTACGATGAAAGCTAACGTGCGATTCAACTCGAGATATCTCCATAGCGGTGACAGCTGGGAAGATGGCAGCGGGGTTCTCCGTTCTACGTGATTCTCCGGAGCGATTACAGTCGCTTCGTCTTCTCGCCGGACGAAGAAAAGGCGGCTGCTTCGGACGTAAGCCTGGCACACACAGTCACACTATTCAGTCTGATCAGAATACCTTCCCAGTGTGGATCGAAATGCCGAAACGTAAGTTCCCAACAACATGAAGCTGCGAGGTTATGTTCGTGATTTTGGAGAGAAGTTCTTCAGCGCTGACGGGTAAATTTTATTTGGTAAAGTAGTATGGGAAGTTAAAGTTTATGAACAAAAACAATTTAATGTGCAACAACATTGTAAAACCGCCAAACACAGCAGTTGTGTGAAGAGATGTGCAGGAAATGCCAACAAAGGCTGTTATTTGAGCAGGCAGGTCTATCTTCAACCTCGCAATCGTTCTTCATGGACTTGCGTGAGATAATGGTGTCTTGCAACATCTCATTGGAGAAGCTGAAGAATCCACGCTTCAGGCAGTTCTTGGAAAAGTACACAACACAGCCCGTTCCAGATGAATCAACATTGAGAAACGTTATTTATCCGTGTGCTATGAAGAGGTGCTCAATAAAATACAAATGAGTGTTGCTGACCACATGATCTGGATGTTCGTAGAAGAAACCACCGATGTGGATGGGTGTTATGTTGCAAATGTTGGTGTTCTAAACATTGACGGGCCTGGAGAAATTTTCCTTCTGACGTGTGAAGTTCTCGAGAGAGTAAACAACTCGACAGTTGCCATTATGTTCCACAATTCTATCACACTATTGTGGCCGGATAGTGTGAACAGAAACAACGTTTTGCCACTAATGACAGATGGCGCTTCACACATTACTAAAGTAGCCATGGGCTGCAGTTTCTTTACCCTAGTATAGTATACATCACGTGTCTTGCGCATGCGTTACACAGAGTTGCGGAACAAGGGCGAACCTGATGTGGACAAATTCATTTCCCTGCGGCAAGAAAATCTTTGCCAAAGTCCCTACGGGTGAAGAAATTGAAGGAACAAGCACCTTCACTATCTCCCCCCTTCAGCCTGTTCTTTCACGTTGGGGTTCTTGGCTTAATGCGGTTGAGTATTATTGTACCAACTACAAGGAAATAAAGAAAATCTCCTATGAGTTTGATAGTCAAGAATAGTGCTATCAAAACTGCGCAAGCAGTTTTTCCAGATACCTTGTCTGTAAACTTGGCATATACCAACGCCAACTTTTCAGGAGTACCAAAAGCTATCACCCGACTGGAAGCTGCTGGCACACAACTGTGTGACGCCTTGAATATTGTGCAACATGTGCGGAGTGAGTTGGATCGAGCTCGTGGTCATGTGGCTGAAAAAGTATATAACAAATTTCTAAGTTTTTTCAGCAAAATCCTAGATACTCTACAATGTGCAAAATTAGTGATATAATTTCTGGAAATGCCGCAACATTGGAAGACAATGAATCAAAGCTACCCTACAGTGACATCGCCGCCTTCAAATACGCTCATGGCGTCATGTGATGTGGAGAGAAGCTTTTCCACATACAAAACGATCCTTAGTGACAACCGTAGGTCTTTTAAGATGGAAAATCTGAAAATGCACCTTGTGATCCAATGCAACGCTCCACAAATTGAAGACTGAGAGGAAGTTGGAAAACATTAATCAAGAAGCAGTAGTAAAGCAAGGCATTTTGTTTGATGGGTTTTATTGTACTGACATGATTTGTTTTACAGACACAAGCAATTTTTTTAATACTAGTTAGTTCCAAAGACTCCAAAACGTAAGTACTACACTCACAATGTGTTCTTGGTTGAATTTTGTATTTGATATACCTGAAAAATCAATAAGAATTTTAAAAAAATCAACTTATATAAAATCATATTTTATTTTTTAAAGTTATATTTATGTAGATTATAGGTCATAAATGCTTGCTCATTTAGCTGATTTTAGGTCATTTAATCCCGGAAATACAAATCAGGCAGACAATTTTTGATGTTTTCATCGAATAGTCATTGCACGAAATGTCAACGCTTGCACACTGCGCGGAGGAATTGGGATTCCAGAATTTTCCATTGGACATCGAAGACAATAGGAACGAAGAGCTAACACGCAAGAATACCCTGCCTGTCAATGGGCCTCT